CTGAATTTCCAGTAGTTCCACAGAACCGGCAGACACCAGATGCCACGCCAGCTGGTTTGCTTCGGGTTCCCTCTCGAAACTCCACCATTGCCTTTAATGTGCATGAATCAGCCAATGCCATCACCCAAAACAATTTGGTACGACCACACCCCTCATGCAAGTCCACCTTGATTGCCTCCTCCTCTTCTTTGCATACCTGAATGTAACATTTATTAGTGCTGTCACACAGTTCAAGAGTCAATGCATTTAGTGCAGCTTTTTATAATTTTCTGTAATTAAGTTCTTCCCACCTGTCTCTGGTGCAGGCGAGTGCGGCGATGTAAATGCAGAAACCGGTCACAGTCAGCACACAAATTCCCACATACATTGCATTGTATGATTGCTCCTGTTTCTCCATCATCATGGTTACTGCATGTTGGCTAAAACAAAAATATTATATTCACAGTCATGTCCAGTTAAGTACCTAGACTTGGTTTGTTGAAGAGTTTCCTGAAACAGAACTAAAGTATATATTCTTTAATGTCTCTGTTATGGCCTTTAAACCTCTTCTTAATCTGCCACTTGACAAGATTGAAAGAATCCAATTCTGTGATATGAACACCCAATAAATGGTTTCATTTATTCCAGATAATAAGGTACTGACCAGCAGATAGGACACACAACTTCAAGTTGACATCAAACCACCCTAGTAACCTGGCACTCCCTGCATTTAAAAAGTTTTTACTTTCCCAGAAGTGAAAGATGTGCAATGAATACACAAAAATAAAAACCTTTGGCACAGGAGTTCTATATCTCACCTCAAGATCACCAGATTCCTGTGCTGAAGAAAGTATGTAGATTTTAAAAAAATGTAACAAATGATTTTGCATGTTTGACATATTTTTAATATACAGTGAAACCTCTATCCATCGTTCCCGGAACTATCGTTTTCCCGGATGCATCGTCCGTTTTGTTCGGTCCCGAATACATCCCATATAAAATAATGTTACATTTTCCCGCTTCTATCGTTCCTCGAACTATCGTTTTATCGCATCGATCGTTCAAAAATCGTAGTCCCGGCCCACAATTTTCCCGCAATGATCGTTCCTGAGAATTTAAAATGCTGGGTTTAGAGATAAATTAATACCGAAAGACGCACAATGTTTTTGGAATAAACAGTAGCGGTAACCTGTTATGTCGCCCAACCAGCACATTCTTTTGGAATGAGGGTCAGCGGTGCAGGGGTGATAGTTGGAGTGAATGGCGGTGCCCATTGTCAGAAATTTTACGATTTTAATTAGGGTGCACACATATTTCGTTCCAGCGATGCCAGATGGCATGTGCAGTGTGAATTTCTTCACAAATGCTTTTATTATAAGTACAAAGGAAAGACGGGCGGCACTTTTCATTCTTCTGGTTCATCTCGTTTCCAGCGGTTCTGGGTCTTCTACAGCTACGTTTCGTTGAGTTCGGCAGTAATAGTATTTCCATTCTTCCTGTGATTGTCCGCAAAGGGGGTTGGAGCGGTGAGGAAGAGGAAGACGACGAATGCGAGCCCGAAGCTTTGCCGAGTTTTGCCGAAGCACACGCTGCATTGGCAAAAGTGAAGTCGTTCGTTTATGCGCATAATATTAGTGAACGTGACGAAGAAAGCATTTTGAACGTGGAAAGGGCTCTGTTTGGCCTAAAACGTAAAGTTTCGACAAACCAGTTGTCCATTAAAGACTTTTTTGGTAAAAAGAAGTAACTTTGAAAGAGAAACATTGTTTGTTTTTTTAAAATTTTAATGCTTTCCCGCATCTATCGTTTTCCCGCATTCATCGTTTTTATTTCCCACCCCCGCCGAAAACGATGCATCGAGGTTTCACTGTATTCAACATAAAGGTCTCATTCAGATGATGTGTACTATGTAAGCAGTTCAACCCCTATAAAACCAATAAACTTCACACATTTGGCACTACTGTATTTTATATCTTATATATGTTTACCCTTGGAGGAGGAGGTTGTCCATCGGCAGCCCCACTCCACTGTCCTGATGAAAGTCGCTCCACATGTTCACTGTCTAGAACACACAAGGAGGCAAGAGCCAGCCATAGTGTAGGAGTGCGTAAGCAGTCAGATGGCGTGCGATGTAAATCCTCCAGTTTTGTCAGATTCAGGATGTTTTCAGCTACTGCACTCTTTGTCACATTTGCCCAGGCTTCTGACAGTTTGCCCTGGAAGTTTCACATGAATAAAGTGTTATCAGAGAGGTAACATATCTGATTCATGTTCAGGAAGTGACAATTTAAATTCCGATATTCTGGCTGAGATTCATTATGGTTTTCTTCACATAAATGCCAAAATAATGTCTTAAAATCGAACATGCCCACATTATCTTTCAAGGGCCAAGTCAATAAGAAAACATTCAATGTTGACAATTATTAGATAATATATTCATCTGATAATTTCTGAATTTTATGATGCACTTTCAGTAACAGTATATATATATATATATTCATATGGTCTGTAATATCTTTTTCATATTGTATAAGAAAACATTGCTGTCTCTTAACTTAATTTCTAAAGCAAACAGCAGGTGTCTTAAGATATTATGAAGAACAACTTTTATTGTACATTCAAAGGTTCGGAAAGAATCATATGTATAAAAATATCCTGCGGTCTCATGACTTGTGCTTCAAATTATAAACATATACATGAGAACCAATTCATACAAATGTACTCCAAATAAAATATCTCAGCACATCTTAAACTTATTTTGTTCTCAATATGTGTGTATTACTCTTACTGCCTAATAATACTTTAAGAATATTACCAGAGATTAGTATCAAAATTTGCAATTGAAATAATTTTTTAACATTTTAGCATGGAAAAAGACAAGTAAATATCTTCAAGAAATGTGTTACTGATGACAGTTCTCAGTTCTCTGGGAGCAATACATACTTTAATTCACCAACCTTTTATTCTTAGAGGTTTATCCATATATCTCTCTACACAATAGAACATGGCATCAATGACCAGAAGCTATTTACAGTTCATGGCCACCTCTATGTCCCCATGCACAGACTTCGGTTTACACATTTTTCTACATGATTCACTGGTCAAAAATTTATGGTCAATCACATTTACTTCATAGAGTAAGCCATTATTCTAACCCACACAATGAAAATAATACAAACTATGCATGATAATTCTAATAAAATATAATTTGCAGGAACGGTGTTTTTTGATTATCCAGTATGTAGATATGTGGTTATGCATTATTGATTGTAGGTTGTATGAAGTTTAGTTACATGGAGAAACATGCCTGGTGTCTGTGACATCACATTCAGACAATTCAGCCAATGTAAAATCAGTCTTATTGTTTCTCTTATGATATTATACTTTCATCATATAAGAAAAATTGGAACTTCACATATTTGTACATACAAACATGTGTGTTCACATTGCAAAATATATATATAGTGGAGTGATGAGTTAAGTTCCACTCAATATAAGACAGTGTTGCAAGTTGTTAAGAAAAATATAATTATATAATACAGGTAATCTGAGACCAAAAATAATCATCTCCACAGATATTTGGGTCCTGGATAACCGGCATTCTACTGTATTCAGACTGAACATTAAAATTACACACAAGTTACAAACAAAAATCTAATTTTGATCTCTTACCGCTGCCATATCCTTCATAAGTTGAATAATAACCTCAGCCAATTTACGAGTAATACACCCTCGCAACCACCAGCGTGAGCCAACAAAATCTCGAGGATGAATTGACGTTGCCAAGGTCACCGTAGTCAGGCCTTTCCCTCCAGAGGCATCTTTCCCCTTTACTTTCACCTGAACTGTAAGAGCTTTGGCAACACAACTCAAGAATACATCTAAAATACCAAGCCTGAAACAAAGCACAATATGCACTTTCTAATTGTACCTAAACACATATCATAAGCTGAAAAGTCCAGGTATTAATACCACAATCATTTATTTATTTATTTATTTATCCACTTTAAGATAAATATATACTAATACAGGGCAAATTTGTCTTGTGACAAAGTTTTTTCAAAGTATATAAGTTACCATCTGCCAATCACAATTCTACTAAAGTTCTATACCCACTTATCATTGTACATGCAGTATGCAACAGGGCTGACCAAACAATTAGCAAGTCTTTGGTCCTTAGTTGTGTCTTCATACATGAACTTAACATCATTCATACCACTGTACTGTTGATGACTGAATTACACATACAACTTTTCAGTTAATGTTCCACAATCTTAGTTTATTCCTTTCATGCTATGTTCATTCATTTTCAAGACTCCAGGCAACAACTTTTCTAACTAAAGATCACAAACTTTCTAAAATATCCCTAAATAACTTACCTGTGAATGTCAAACTGAGGCTCTGGTTCCAATGGAGCCTTGTTGGCAGCCGATACAATACTGAAATCAGTTGGTGGAAGTCTGTCAATGCTCATAACATTGCCCAATATTGCAGGAGATATCTCTGGTAACATACGTCGCAGTAAAGAGGTCACCTGCAAGAGATAGATCTTCATCAACAACATTCAACCCAATCTGTCCCCATCAGAGCTGATGTTCATCTGTAATATTTTCATAACTACAGAATGGCTAGATGGAAACTAATGTGATTTTTCACAGGTATTATGCCATACATAATTTCTCCAAACTGGCAGTTTCTAACTCCTTATACTATGTAATACCATTCTGACAGAAATTCAAATTCAGTAGGTGGCACAATGGTAATGCCATTAGCCACATCCTTGCATATGATCTTCTGTGCATCACTAACCTTGCCTAAATCATCCCAATCTAACCCCTTTAAAACCAATGTCTGCCTGTATGAATCCTGTAACCAGATAACTGACTGAACAGAAACTGATGAAACTTGGTTCAAGAGATTTTATAAGTATACAAGCATACCAACAGCACATAACTGCATGCAGCCTAGTTCTGAGGAGGTAACAGTCACTCAGGTGTTCAAGAAATTCTCTGCCTTTTATGGAAACCAAAGATACATTTCTGTGTTCAAAAGAGTCTCCCTAACAGCTGAATCCAATCCACAATATTATATCCTAATTGACCTACAATACCAGGTGATTCAAAAAGGACTTTACAACTTTGAAAGTGTATAGAAATTTAATCATAAAGCTTACAGAATCCGCTGAGGTGGCATTTTGTAGCAAAACAAATCAAGTTTGACTCATGTGCTGTAGTACCGAATTCCGTCACCGCGAGCGCAAGCGGCAGTGCATTTGAAAATGGCTACTTTCACAGGTGCGGAGCGCGCTCGCTGTGTGCTGTGGTTTAAGAAACGAAATCTGCGACAATGGTTCAACGAAATTTTTGCACCCAGTATGGCAAGGATCCTCCCAGTAGACCTACAATTTACTCTTGGCACAAGAATTTTGTTGAGACTGGTTGTTCTGTTCGCCATGACAAATCTCCAGATTGCCCGCGTGTTTCTAGTGCTGTTGTGGAACACGTTCGTGACAGCCCAAAGGTGTTTGTGTTTTGTGCCCTTAGCAAAGTTAAAGTGTACGGCCTGTTCTTTTTCCATGAGAGAACCATCAACGGTATCGTGTATCTGGATATGCTCGAAAATTTTCTCATACCACAGTTAGACAAAGATGACCAAAAAGGACGCATTCACTTCCAGCAAGACGGTGCACCACCTCACTACCTCACGTAAGTCCGGGATTTCCTCAACAACCGTTTCCCAGGTCGGTGGATTGGTCGAACAGGGTCGATAGCATGGCCACCTCGTTCTCCAGATTTGACACCTCTCGACTTTCTCTTATGGGGTTTCATTAAAGATCGTGTGTATGTTCCACCCTTGCCTGCCAGTCTCACTGAGCTCAAAGCTCGAATCACCGCCGCAGTTGCAGAAGTGACACCGGATATGCTGGATCGTGTTTGGCAAGAAATTGATTTCAGGTGGGATGTCTGCAGTATCACCAATGGCAATCACATTGAACCAAAATGACTGTTTGAGGTAAAACTTGATTTGTTTTGCTACAACATGACACCTCAACCGATTCTGTAAGCCTTCTGAACAAATTTCTATACATTTTCAAAGTTGTAAAGTCCTTTTTGAATCACTCTGTATATACCTTGGATTATTATAGTGCTGTTTATTTTATATTACTCCTCCAAGAGTTTTAAATATATTAGTTTTTGTTATTCAAAGTGTCTCTTTATCAACTACTGACAAAGCTACAGACAAACAGATCACTGACTGTACACAGTGCTTAACTTACCTGCCTCTGAACCCTAGCTGACCCAGTGTGGAGTAGACTAAGAAGGTCACGTAACAAGCCATACTGGTGTGAAAGATACGCTTGACCCACACTGCTTCCACTAAGTGCGAGAACCATAGACAACATTTCAAAGCAATATGTGTCAGCAGATTTTGGTGCCTCTAGACTGTGGCCACTGCTGAAACTGCCTCCAGATGGTGCTGTATGTGCTGAACAGAGAAGGGATTCCCATTCTTCACGAACTCGAGTTGCCTCTTTTCGAATGGCTTGCACAATGTGCATGCAAACCTGCAAAGAAAATAAAACAGTAACATGCACTTTTCTGTCTTTTCATAAACTCATTTCTTCACAAACACTTTCATATGGTGAATACATAACAAAATACATGCAAAAAAGTTTTGACTGTAGGCAGGTTTGTAAAAATATATCTGTATTTGTATTTTTATTATTACAGTAGGGCCCCGCTTTTCGGCGCTCCGCTTTATGGCGATCCGCTAATACGGCGCTCAACAGCTGAGTCAGAGAAGTGTGTCTGGCGCCATTTTCTCGTCGCTGATTCAGTCTGTTTACAGCTTTTGTGCGCTCCGCGTCTCTCTGTATTTCTGGCAATTTTTCAGTTATTACAAACTGTATATTTATATAATATTTTTGTGTTACTACAGTGTAATTACAATGGCGTCTAAGGGTAGTAGCGATAAAAAGAGGAGTCGTAAGCCTCTTACTTTAAATGCCAAGTTAGAGATGATTAAACTTCGTGAACAAGGC